AAATAGAGGGAACACGGCCAGGGAGGTTTGTGGAATCTCCATCATTGAAGGTTTTAAAGAACAGTTGGACAAACACCTGTCGGGCATGGTCTAGTTATTACGTAGTCCTGCCCTGATTGCAGGGGACTGGACTAGATGACCTCTCAAGATCCCTTCCCATCCTACACTTCTATGATTGCATGTGTGTATATATATGTATATAGTGTGACTATATATCACACATGCAAATATATGTATGCACAAGAGTTTGGAAACTGAAATATAAATTATGTATCCATATAAAGAGTTTTGACATTTAAGGTATTACGTTGATCAGTAAAAGATATCTGGCACTTTTTTTCAGATATAAATCATATTTCAGGCCAAATGTTCAAATGGCCTCCCTCACTGACATTCAAAAATCAAGGCTTGGGGTAACATTTTTAAAAGCAGCTAATTGACTTGGGAACTTAAAGGTGTGAAAGTCAATGGGACGTGGGTTTCTATGTGTCTAAGGGTATGTCTACACTACGAAATTAGGTCGAATTTATAGAAGTCAGTTTTTTAGAAATCGGTTTTATATATTTGAGTGTGTGTGTCCCCACAGAAAATGCTCTAAGTGCATTAACTCGGCAGAGTGCTTCCACAGTACCGAGGCTAGAGTCGACTTCTGGAGTGTTGCACTGTGGGTAGCTGTCCCACAGTTCCCGCAGTCTCTGCTGCCCATTGGAATTCTGGGTTGAGATCCCAATGCCTGATGGGGCTAAAACATTGTCGCGGGTGGTTCTGGGTACATATCGTCAGGCCCCCGTTCCCTCCCTCCCTCTGTGAAAGCAAGGGCAGACAATCGTTTCGTGCCTTTTTTCCTGAGTTACCTGTGCAGATGCCATACCATGGCAAGCATGGAGCCTGCTCAGCTCACTGTCACCATATGTCTCCTGGGTGCTGGCAGACGCGGTACTGCATTGCTACACAGCAGCAGCAACCCATTGCCTTGTGGCAGCAGACGGTGCAATAGGACTGGTAGCCGTCATCGTCATGTCCGAGGTGCTCCTGGTCGCCTCTGTGAGGTCGATCAGGAGCGCCTGGGCAGACATGGGTGCAGGGACTAAATTTGGAGTGACTTGATCAGGTCATTCTCTTTAGTCCTGCAGTCAGTCCTATTGAACCATCTTATGGTGAGCAGGCAGGTGATACAGATTGCTAGCTGTCCTATTGCATCATCTTCTGCCAGGCAGGCAAGAGATGAGGATGGCTAGCAGTCCTATTGTACCATCTTCTGCTGAGCAGCCATGAGATGTGGATGGCATGCAGTCCTTCTGCACCGTCTGCTGCCAGCCAAAGATGTAAAAGATAGATGGAGTGGATCAAAACAAGAAATAGGCCAGATTTGTTTTGTACTCATTTGCAAACCCCCCCCCCCCATGTAGGGGACTCATTCCTCTAGGTCACACTGCAGTCACTCACAGAGAAGGTGCAGCGAGGTAAATCTAGCCATGTCAGAGGCCAGGCTAACCTCCTTGTTCCAATAAGAACAATAACTTAGGTGCACCATTTCTTATTGGAACCCTCTGTGAAGTCCTGCCTGAAATACTCATTGATGTAAAGCCACCGCCTTTGTTGATTTTAGCTCCCTGTAAGCCAACCCTGTAAGCCGTGTCATCAGTCGCCCCTCCCTGCGTCAGAGCAATGGCAAACAATCGTGCCTCTGAGTTGAGAGTGCTGTCCAGAAAAGTCACAATGGAGCACTCTGGGATAGCTCCCGGAGGCCAATACCGTCGAATTGTGTCCACAGTACCCCAAATTCGACCCGGCAAGGCCGATTTAAGCGCTAATCCATTTGTCGGGGTGGAGTAAGGAAATCGATTTTAAGAGCCCTTTAAGTCGAACTAAAGGGCTTCATCGTGTGGACGGGTGCAGGTTTACATTGATTTAACGCTGCTAAATTTGACCTAAAGTCCTAGTGTAGACCAGGGCTTACGCCACGTTTACAATAGAAGCTTATAGGGGCACAGCGGTACTGATACAGCTGTTCCTCTATAAGAGCACTCGTGTAGTTGCATTGTGCTGATGGGAGAAAGCTCTCCCATCGACATAATAAAACCAGCCCAACAAGCGGTGGTAGCTATGTTGGTGGGAGAGCATCTCCCGCTGACATAGTGCTGTGCACATGAGCGCCTATGCTATCAAACCGTATGTCACACAGGTCTGTGTTTTTTTCAAAGTTTTGCCGACATAAGTGCTAGTGTAGACATGGTCTTATTCACGTCTGAAAATCTGACTTGGGCTTCTGTGTCACTTAAATGCTTTTGAAAATGTTTCTCTTGGTCACACAACATTTGTATTTGACATGCAAATGGTTTTACCTGCAAATTTGGAAGGCTTTGTTATGTGTGCTCTTTGAAAATGTGGCTCTTATTATTTGTTCAAATTACTAATTTTTCCTGGATGGAGACTGCCCCTGCAGCTTACACAAGTTCTTTAAAAGTAAGCAACCTTGCATAGTATCTTTTGCCTTTTGAAGTACATGTGAGCCTCTTTCATCCAAAATGACCTTGCAGTTTAGAAAATTACAGCTAGGCTATAAGGATATTTCATATTTTCTCTTTTGTAAATAACTGGCTTGTCTTAGTTCACTGAGCTTAGCTTCTTCCATAGTCACATCAAAGCCTAGAAATCCTACTGGAGCTTGAGCTGAAACTGCTGTTCTTCCTAGGTTCAGGAAAGAGCACATCCATCAATGGATACATTGACAATCATGCATTTCGTCAGCACACTTGTGATTAGAGTTGCATGAATTTTTTTTGGTCAAATAGTAAATTTGCTGAAAAATGAAGCTTCAGGGCAACCAACACTATTCCCAAATTTGGGCTGAATTTGGCAAATAGTTTTGGCTGAATAAAAAAGGGAAAACATTGAAAAAGGCAAAATAGTTCTTTTTGCATTTTCAAAAGGAAGTGTTTTGACTTCCTTCTGAAACTGTGTTTTGTTTAGAAATTTAGTGAGATTTTTAAAAACATTTTTTAAAGGGTAACCCCCCCCACATATAACAAGATGATATTTTTGTTTTGTTTCACCAAGATAAATAAAATTGCAGTCTCAATTTGAAACAAACTGATTTTTTTCCCCATTTTTCAGCCACTGAACTGCAAAATCCAATAATTCACTCAGATCGACTTGTGATACCTCACTGTGTCACCTTATTGGATCTTGGAGTGGCTTCAGATGCACATTGAACTAATGAGTGACAACTGTTTGCCTTAAGACAATGCTACAGGTGCCAAAGCAGTTCGGTTATTATATGGTGTGCCACACCATCACAAGTGGCTGAAAAGTCCAATTCTCAAGCAACAGTCCTTGCCACAGGTAATGCAGGCAAAAAAGCATGGAGCCAGAAAATGAAGCTGGTGCATTCCTAGCGCTTGAGGCCTGCTGTGCTTTCCCCTTCAGTCTCTTTGCTTTCCTGTCTCACAACCACCTCTCTTGCCTCTTTTACTCCCTGGTGCAGCACTGCCTTCCAGTGTAGCATGTTGCTAGCTGCATCTTCCTAGTTTGTGATGTGGATGTTGAAAGTTTTCAAGTCATTGAATCTGAGGCTCGGTTGGCTCTGGGGCCTTGGAGCATCCACAAGTTCTCCATGCAGGAGATCATTTGAATTACAAAGGTGGTAAACATGGTCCCTGTGGGACTACATACAGAATGGTCCTGGAGGTAACTCAGTAATTATTCATCATTGCTAATTAAAATGTAGAGGCCCAGTTTTACCCTAATTACAAATGGTAAACTGTTTGGAAAAGGAATATTGTGAGTTTCTGCTCTGACTGCCATTGTTTACTTGAACGGGTAGACTATTTAAAAAAAAAAGTTGAAAAATTTAGTTGCCTGATTATAACGTTCTCATCAAATAAATTGTGAGATGAAATAGTACTGCCAGGAATATTGGTAGAAGTTATTCAAGTCCAAAGTAGCAAAATTTGTTTAATACTTAGTGAAAAGTATTCAACTACCTTTACTCTTTACAAAGGGCATAACTGTTTCTAGTTAATGCTGCCCAGTACAGTTTGGTAAAAAGAAAAGGAGTACTTGTGGCACCTTAGAGACTAACAAATTTATTTGAGCAAATTTGTTAGTCTCTAAGGTGCCACAAGTACTCCTTTTCTTTTTGCAGATACAGACTAACACGGCTGCAACTCTGAAACCTACAGTTTGGTAGTAATCAAGATCACATACTCAGGATTAGGGCCCCAATTCAGCAAAACACTTAAGTATACATTTAAGTCCATCCCTATTCAACTAGCCCTTGATCTCCAGCAAAACACTTAAGCAAATGCTTAATTTTAAGCACGTGAATAGCCAGAATGACTTCAATGACACTGTTGATGTGCTTAAAGTTAATGGTTTGCTGGATTGGAGCCAGAATGATTAGCACTTTGCAGGACGGAATCTCAAAGCACTTAAGCATGTGCCTGAAGTTAAGCACATACTTAAGTGCTGTGCTGAATAGGGATTGACTGCTGAAAGGGGGCACAAGACAGATTGTTGTAATATCTTTTATGCTGGAAGCTTTATCTGGTTGTAGAAAGTACAGAGGCTGGGTCCCAGAGCCTAGAATGGAGAGGGAAATTTCTCCAGTTAGTATCAGAATGCTACTTTGACAAAGCATAAGAACGATATTTGGACAAGGACTCAGATATTGAATTTTATTTATTTCCTATTGCTTTGGTCACGTTAAGAAGGTCAACCAGGACATGCTGGAGAAAATATGTCTTTCTTCACATCCTGCTCAGAGAAGAGAGACCCTAGGCAAGAGGGTCATGTCTAGCCAAATGGTTTAATTTGTAATAAGATATCAGTTAAGCATTTCCAGAAGCTGTTTGCTAGTGAGTCACAACTACACAGTCCAGAAACTTCCTAAAGAAAATGGGCTGGAGAAAAATAGAGAGGAGAGAGTAAAACAACCCCATACAAGCAAATAATTAACTCAACAGTTAAATTTTATATTTTTAGTCTGATCTGATATTTACAGCAATGTTGTGAAAGTCACTTTAGACCTACCATACTATTGACATTTTTAAACATTGCTCTTAGAAATGGTGTGTTTTAACCTGAGAAACTAGATTATGATAAACTGAACTACTTATATTTATACTTACAGGTGGTCCCTTACTACACAACCTTTGTGAGTGGCGCAACTTTGTGGGATAGAGGCATTTACCATCCTGCTGTAAGTACTATCTCAGTACCACTGTATTGCATTAATTGTTGTTTTGTATCCTGTGCATGGCTGCTCTACCCACACCAATTCTCCATTCCTGCAGGGATACTTTGTCTTTAAGTGCTCTGTGCTGAAGGGGCCTTGTCCAGGGCCACTGACAATGGCTCAGTATCTGACTCAGAGAATAGTCTCTGCTTGAGCTATTTCCTCTCCTTGCATTGAACAAAATGATGTGTGTATTAATTCTGAAATCAATGAGACACAAAGATATAACTCAGAAACCACAGCCATGGACATGTCAAAAATACCTAGGTAGATAACTCAATAGCATTAACACCATCCAAGTAAATAAGTGTCTGCAACTGGAAAGACAAGTGTTGGTTACCAGGGTGATGGATATTGTAGACAGACAGGACTCAGCCTAGGTATTGCAGGGATTCTTTTTATAATGTGTCTCGTTACTAGACTAGCTAGACCTATCAATCTGCAACAAGAAAATATTTATCAGGAAACATAATCTTACCTTCTCCCCCTTACCTATACTACCTAACTCTTTAACTCCTTATTAGCTGAACAGTATGACTGCAACATCAATACCACACCAGCATACCTGAAACTCACACTACAACTGTCTGGGATTTTTTGTTTTTGTTTTTGTGCTTGTTTCATTTCTTGATGTGTTTTGGGGCATTTATGTTCTGATCAGATTATGAGCTGCTCTTGGTCACATTATTGGATAGCTCTCAAACTTCCAATCCCTTAAATCCCCTCCCCCAAAAAGGATTATAAAACAATACAAATCTCCCCCCCTGAACAAATAAAACCTTGAAGTGCTCGCTCTATGTAATCTTCCTCAGTGTTCTCTAGTATTATCACCTTTACCATTTAATGCACTATTCAAATGTCTATATACAGAGTATTTTAGATTGTATAGACATTGTGATATTGATTTTATTATTCATCTGCTTGCTAAGAATCAAAATCAGCAGTATAGGTGTAATTTTCTCTTCAGTAGAGCTACAAAGCACAAAAATTACAAGAATAATTTCATCTTTCTCTTTCAAATAAAAATAAATAGCTGAGTTCATCAAGGAAATTGCTGACCTGTTTTTTCTTTCATTTGCTAATGATCCCCCTTTTCAGTGAATTAAGCTTGAGCCAACTGATTTTTCTGAAATGTGTACACGTACATCTAGTAAATTAATGTAAGTATGCCTATGAAGATGGTAGCCATAGGCTAGTGCTTTTCGTTGCCATGGATCCATTGCAGGCCTCTCTGATTGTAGCTTGTCAGGGCTTTGTTTATACAAGTAGGAACTGAGGAAAAATGGTTTTCAGCTATTTTTGTAATTTACATTTTAACAGTTCTAATTGTACTAATTTCCTTCCTATTTAGTGTGAATGGTAAGGACAGTAACCTTCAGTGATGACCCCATGGTTTTTAAAGCTCAAGCCAAAGGGCTATGCTCTGCCGTCATTTTTTTTCCTGTGTAACCTTGGGATTAAGGAGTTGTAACTTATGATAGAAATTTAGCCCTGAAAGTCTCTTTGTGTGGAATAAATAGACCTGGCAATTTACTTTATCTTAGACTCATTGCATCCATCTAGAAGGTCGTCTACAAACATGTTCCTTTAGTGTGAAGATTACAAAACAATCACTTGAATTTTATTTTCTCCCTGACTTCATTACCTATGATGCTTGGTAGATTTTTGCCAGGGATCTGACCCCCCCCGCCCCGTCCCCAAAATAAATCCCGATTGTTTCTTTCAAAATACTCTGTTCATGTTTGTGTTAAGTGTTTGGTTTATTTCTGAGAAAACTTTGAGGCTTCTGTGACTACCAGTCAGGTGTCAAACCCTTGCAGCACAAGTAGCTGAGCTAGTGCCACTGGCACTACTGTGGGAGGGAGTCATAGGGACACATTTCAGAGTAACAGCCGTGTTAGTCTGTATTCGCAAAAAGAAAAGGAGTACTTGTGGCACCTTAGAGACTAACCAATTTATTTGAGCATGAGCTTTCGTGAGCTACAGCTCACTTCATCGGATGCATACCGTGGAAACTGCAGAAGACATTATATACACACAGAGACCATGAAACAATACCCCCTCCCACCCCACTGTCCTGCTGGTAATAGCTTATCTAAAGTGATCCTCAAGTTGGGCCATTTCCAGCACAAATCCAGGTTTTCTCACCCTCCGCCCCCCCCCTCCCCAAACTCACTCTCCTGCTGGTAATAGCCCATCCAAAGTGACCACTCTCTTCACAATGTGTATGATAATCAAGGTGGGCCATTTCCAGCACAAATGCAGGTTTTCTCATCCCCCCACCCCCCTCCAAAAACCACACACACGAACTCACTCTCCTGCTGGTAATAGCTTATCCAAAGTGACCACTCTCCTCACAATGTGTATGAAAATCAAGGTGGGCCATTTCCAGCACAAATACAGGTTTTCTCACCACCCCCCACCCCCTTTTTTCAAAAACACACACACACACAAACTCACTCTCCTGCTGGTAATAGCTTATCCAAAGCGACCACTCTCCCTACAATGTGCATGATAATCAAGATGGGCCATTTCCAGCACAAATCCAGGTTTTCTCACCCCCCCACCCCCATACACACACAAACTCACTCTCCTGCTGGTAATAGCTCATCCAAAGTGACCACTCTCCCTACAATGTGCATGATAATCAAGGTGGGCCATTTCCAGCACAAATCCAGGTTTTCTCACCCCCTCCCCCCCACATACAAACTCACTCTCCTGCTGGCAATAGCTCATCCAAACAATGACCCTGAAAGTCTAGCATTGTAGGCTACTGGTTTAGATTAATGTATAGAGAGAAAATGACTGTCTAGAACAGTACCATCTATATTGCCTGCTTGTAGGGCCTGCCATGAAGATAATGAAGTGTGTGAAATCCTGCAGGGAACTGAGGAACCAGTATTATGATACATTACCTTTTGCTGGTCCTATAGTTACCTGCACTAAAGGATCTGCAGAAATCTCTCCGTGTTTCCTGGCTGTATTTGTGTCCTAGTAGGAATTCACACACTTCATCTCCCTCACTTTCTCTTTCTAGATATAGATAGCTACTGTATATCTATAGACAGATTGGACCTTATTCTGCCACCACTCTGGCAGTATAAAAGGGCCTTAAGGGGATGTAAAGGTGTCAATATAATTTCTGCCTACTTTAAGGTCCCTTAACATGAATAAAGTGGTGTAAAGGAACATTAGGATAAATGAGAATCTGTCCCTGTGTGTTTCTAAATATGCTAAGTGGATTGTTTTGTTGTTGTTGTTGTTTTCCATTCTGGTGATGAACACCTTTAACCTGAATTTGGCTAGTTATGTTTACAATTGTTCCAGACTGTCTGAGTCAAAGACCACATTAAGTGCTATAACTGAAATAAATTACCTCTGATTCACTATCACAAATACACATTAATTAATAAAGAAATATAGCCTATGTTTGTGGCGTCTGATATGCCACGTTATTTGTATTATTATTAATAATTTATTTGTATGGTGGTAGCACCTTGGAGCCCTAATCATGGACTAAAATTCCCTTGTCAAGGCTCTGTACAAATACAGAACAAAAAGGTGGTCCCTGCCCTAAAGAGCTTACAATCTAAGACAAGAGACAACAGATAGATACAGATGGATGAGGGAGTCCAGGGAAACAATGAGACAATATTGGGCAGTGTTGCGGTCCAAATACAAGACAGAACAAGGCTTTAAGCAAGCAAGCAGGCTGGTCTGCCGACGGGCTGGTCTCCTGTCAGCTTTCCACCCTCTCTTTTATTCTTTCTCTCCCCCCGCGCATTACATACTCCAACAGATAAAAGGAATACACTGGCTTTGTTTAATATTCTTATTTACCAATATCTATCTACTGCATTCCTTGCTCTCAGGCCTTGAGCCCAGTCCTGGGAGGCTTCCCATGGTTCATGTCATCTGGGCGAGATTCCAAGGTTCATGCCCTTGAGAGGAGCCGTGTGTGCACTGCTCCTACACAACACTCCGGGTGTGCCCTGAATGTTGCCAAGTGCATGAACCTTGCATGAATGCTACATCCCCTCCTTTTTTGTTTATTTGTGCTCGGCCATCTCATGGTAGCCATTAATTTGCTTTTGCAAGCCATTAACTCCCGGACAGACAAGGTCATAACTCGTGGAGCCTGCCAGGGCAGTTCTCGACAAAGCCTTAACAAAAAGGAAATACATTGCACACAGCAACAGCAAAAAATAAGCCCAAAAAGGTAAAGTGTAATTGGCCGGGCCCCAATTAGCCATGCTAGACTACTGGGAAGAGAGGCTCGCATAAGCAGCGAGCATCATCTCATTCCCTATTTCCTCAGGGTGATGACATACTGGAATAAGGCACGTACCTAACAATTCTTCAGCTGCTACAAAATCAGATAAACAAAAGTGGGTAACATCTGCTATTGAAGCCAATCTTTCCCATAGGTTATATGTCATTCGGGCCCGTAACGGAGGAGGCGCTCCCGAGTCAACCCCTACAGGAAATAGCAGGTACATAAGGCACACAATTAATACAGAATTAGCAGTGATTTGGGCGAGAATGGCCACAAACAGAGTCTCAGGAGTCTCCGGCTGTTGGTTTGCTGCCAGTCTTCGTTGAGCCGCGGCGACCAATGCTTTCACTGTTCCCCATGTCACGGGCTGGCTTGGGACGCTACGTCTCCTCCGTCTCCGTCCCGCCATTGTCGACCCGGGAGGCACCGCGTTCTCCTCCAAGGTCAGCTGAAACTCCGGTATGGGGTTCGACAGCCCCTGGTGCCACGCCATGCTGTTTCAGTGCCGGTCGCACACACTGGGCTGGAACCCACAATGGAACCCATAACGGTAACGGTAATTAAAGGTACTGGGCCCAACCACTGCAGATCGGGCAGCTGACGGTAATAGACACTCGGTCTTTCCAGTACCTCGGACTTATGAAAATGCCAATCCGCGGGGGTCTGCTGATCTGTATTCAGTGTTAAATTATTTAAAGTAAACAAAAGGACATGCAATTGTTGCTGAATGTCTCCTAAGGTTCAGAGACGCAGCTCCCCTTGTTTTAATTTTTTGTCAAGCAAGGTTTTTAGCGTGCGATTTGCACATTCAACAATAGCTTGACCTGTGGAATTATAAGGGATCCTGTGTTTGAGATGAACCAATTTATTTGAGCATGAGCTTTCGTGAGCTACGAAAGCTCATGCTCAAATAAATTGGTTAGTCTCTAAGGTGCCACAAGTACTCCTTTTCTTTTTGCGAATACAGACTAACACGGCTGTTCCTCTGAAACCTGTGTTTGAGATGGACGTTCCATTGGGCACAAAAGGTGGAGAGGGCTGTGGAGCAATAGGCTGGGGCATTATCCATTTTTATCTGGCTCGGGCGACCCATAACAGCAAAACAGGCTAGCAAATGGTGAATAACTTTGGGAGTGGCTTCCCCACGCTGTGGGGTCGCCCAGAGGAATCCCGAATAGGTATCAATGGAAACATGTAAAAACAAATAGGGGTGGAATTGTGGCACATGAGTGACATTCATTTGCCACAGCTGATTCGCTGCGTACCTCTGGGGTTAACGGCATAAGAAAAGGTAGGGGCAGCAGCGGCACAGTGGGGGCAGGAACGAACAATAGAACGTGCATGATCAGCAGGAATGTGAAACTGTCAGGCCAAAACAGAGGCAGACTGATGAAAAAAGGAATGGCTTTCAATGGGGTCAGAAAAAAGGGAATTTACCTGACCACGTAACGTGCGATCAGCGCGCGCATTGCCTTCAGTGAGCAGCCCAGGCAGAGGGGTATGACTGCGAATACGAGCAACAAAATAAGGAAAATTACGAGTGGTGATAAGATACTGTAAGGACAAAAACAGGCGAAGAAGGTCCACATTGACCTGAGGGGTAATGAGGGCAAGGGGTAAATGATCAATTACCTGATAAACATAATGGGTGTCCACAATTAAATTAAAGGGACATTCAGCAAAAAGTTGAAAGGCCAAAATAACAGCAGCCAGTTCTGAGTGCTGCGCGGAACGCTGAGGCAGCGTAAAACGAGAATGCCAACGAGGGGGGTCACCTAATTGATAGGTGACAACACTGCGATGTGGAGAGCCATCAGTAAAAAGAGTGATAGCTGAAACAATAGGTCGAGAGCGGCTAAGACGATGTACGATTCGTGGCACCTTTTGTGTGATCACCAACCGAGGATCTTTTGGGGGATTATAAGAAATCTCTCCCACATAATCACAAAGAGCAACCTGCCAGGCCAAGGAGGTGTGGTACAAGGAATCAAATTCACTACATGATAAGGGGAAAACAATGGCAACTAAATCAGTGCCCGTGAGTTGCACTGCACGATGGCGGGCTTTACGAATAAGGTTGGACAGGGCGTCTAAATAAGAATAAATGTTCTGAGGAGGAGTGGAAGACAAATATATCCACTCTATAATAGAGACGGCTGTGTCTGTACGAGGTACAAACAGAGCCGCAGTAGGCGTATGAGGGGTGGCAAGGAGAACCAACCGCAGAGGACGAACCTCAGTGAGTCTATCCACAAACTGCTGACTCAACACTGCATTGATCTGTCGAATGCAGGCAATGTGCTCCTCAGTGATGGCAATAACTGCGCCTGGTGCCCGAGCTCCACGTAGGAGCTCGAACAATGGCTGCAGCATCGATGTGGGGAGACGGAAGTAGGGTCGAATCCAATTTAAATGACCCAAAATTTGCTGTAATTTAACGAGGGTTAGGGGTTGGGGTAGAACCACTTCTGGGCGAACAGGGGCAGCATAGGTTTGTAATACCTTATGCCTGACATATTGGTACGGATAAGAGCGTTGAATTTTTTCTGGTGCCACTAACAGGCCATTTTGGCCGAGAATCTGGGACAAATATTCAAGCTGTTGTGCCATGACCTGGGGACCGCTAAGCAAAATATCATCCATATAATGGTAGACCTTTAGTGTGGGGTATCGGGCACGAAAAGGGGCGAGGGCCCGATCCACAAAAAATTGACACAAGGTTGGATTATTTTGCATTCCCTAGGGCAAGACCAAGGGATTGTGAAAAAACAATCTTTTAAATCTAACACACAAAGCTGATTGGTTTGAGGAATTAAATTCGGGTTTGGCAACTCAAACTGCAAGGGGCCCATGGGTTGGATGCGTTTATTTATTTCCCTTAAATCATGTAACAGCCGCCAAGCACCAGATTTTTTCTTAATAACGAACACTGGGGTGTTCCAGGGACTAGTGGAGCTCTCCAAGCGCTGTGCATGCAAATGTTGTTGCACAAGCGAATGAAGTGCTTTCAGCTTTTCTAGGGGGAGGGGCCACTGGTCAATCCATACGGGCTCTAAGGATTGCCATACCAATGGTAATGCGGAGGGCAAGGTGGGTGGGGGAGGGTTTTGGGCCATTATATATTAATATCGAGGGTGGTGTCTAGCTTTACAAGTAAGTCACGGCCCCAAATATTGAGGTGGACAGGGAGCACAAAAGGGCAGATTGTAGCAAGGGCACGGCCTCCTGGTTTAGAGACCGTGACCCAAGACAAACTTTGGCACCCGGGTTTGCTACCCCTGATCCCCCACAACTCTTTAGAAGGAACTGTTGGCCAACTGACCGGCCAGTCCTGATCACGAATCACCGTAACATCAGCTCCAGTGTCCACCAGCCCTGTAAAAGGAAAATTATTTAAAAGAAGTGTTAACTGAGGTTTCGAGGGGCGGCGCGACATTGTTAGAGCAACAAGTTGAGAGGACATGTCGTGAGGCGGCTACTGAGACAGCGTCGATCCAAAGCCGCCTCCGCCCCGGGCTCGATCCTCTGCGGCTGGCACCTGATAGGGGACTAAAATCAATTGTGCAATTGACCGTCCACATGGGAGCGACTGCGGAAGATGGGTCCACACCTGAACCTTAATAACGCCGGTGTAATCGGCGTCAATGACCCCTGGGATGACAAAAAAACCCTGTTTCCCAGCGTGTGAGCGAGGGAGAACCAGACCCACAAATCTGGCAGGGAGAGGTCCCGTCACCTGTGTAGGTATGGTGCAAACCTCCCCCGGCAACTGAAAATCAGCGTCCTCCTGCATAATCAAATCAAGCCCTGCACTTCCAGCAGTTGCCGCCCTCATGGAGTCTATGGATTTTAAGTCAGAGGAACAGTTGTCTGAGTGGGGAACACCCCCGTTTGGCCCTGGGTTCGGGGGGGGACCCGTCGTGCGGTTTCCCGACCCGCTATGACACTGATTAGCTCAGTGATAGCCCTTCCGTCACTTGGGGCACTTCTTTGAGGGGCGGGCGGGCACCATCGATGAGCGGCACTCCCGCTGAAAGTGACCCTCCTTACTACAGCGATAACAACGCTTCCCCTCCTTCCCGCTTTTCCGCAGGGCGGCGGCCAGAACCCCAGCTTTATGGGCTTGTGTGCCGATGTTTTGGCATGCCCGCAGCATGTCTGACAGCTCTAGAATGCCAGCAGCTTGTGCCGCCTGGAGAGCACGGCGGCAATCCTCGTTCGCATTTTTAACCGCCATTTTTAACAGAATCTCCTGAGCTGCCGCAGGGTTATCCACCTGTCGGAGGATAGCCTCCTGCAATCTGTTGGTAAAATCCATAAAGGACTCTGATGCACCCTGACGGATACTGGCAAAGCTTTTGGTAGGCTTGCCTGAATCCGGGACCTTCCCGGAAAGCATGCTGGGCGCAGGCAGAAATAATGGGGAAGACAGCCTGCTGGAGTTGAGACTGCATCTGAACGGTAGCAAATGGGCCCTCCCCTGCTAACAAGTGACACCTTGCACTATATATACCTGGGCTTGGCGTTCCACCATCTGCCGATACTCACTAAGCCAAATAACATACTGACTGGGCGTCAGCATCATGCGCAACAGCGCCTTCCAATCTTCAGGGACCAGGGTGTACCCAGTACCTAGCCCTTCAAGGAGACCACGTACATACGTGCTAGTGAGGCCGAACTCGCGAATCGCTTTCTTTACCTCTCTGATCACCGAGTAAGGCAAACTGACCCAGTTTGCAAGCTGGTTGCCCTGGCCATCATCCTGCCAGGTCACCGGGCAAACTGAGACCAGATCAGCTAATTCCTCTGCTGTAAGATCTGGGCGAGTCTTCGCTGTGTGAACCATTTGTTGCACCAGCGAACGCCCCTGAGCAGACGCGGATGACCCCCCGGGGGGCCCCGGAGCATGGGGCCCCATGGGGGGATGGTGACCACTCACCGGCTCCGAAGGGGAAGACAAAGGAGGCGGCAGTAATTGAGGCACTGGGGGCGAAGCAGGGGGAGGGATGGCTGCAGGAGCGGACGGGGGTGGCGAGATCAGCAGCCCCTCTATTGGCGCGGGAGAGGGTCTTTCCGAGGCGACACGCTGTGTCGCATCGCCAGGAGGGGGGATGGCTGCAGGAGTGGACAGGAGTGGCGAGATCACCAGCCTCTCTATTGGCGCAAGGGAGGGCCTTTCCGAGGCGACACACTGTATCGTGTCGCGGCAGAGGTGCCAGGCATGTAAAGCCTGCACGGGCGCCCGAGGCTCCTTGTGCAATGTCTGGCCCAACCGCTCCCAGTCCGCTAGCTTAAGGGTTCCGGCTTCAGGGTACCACGGGCATTGGGCACTCACCTCCTGTAGCAGGAGAGTGAGTTCTCGAGTGGGGCAGTTATGCTGAGCCTTACGCAGCAAATACTGTAGCTCATTGCGGTGTTGCACTTGCAAAGGAGAGAGGGAGCTTCCCATACTTACCACAACAAAAAATACTCACCAGGATCCATGAAGCGGATGAGTGACGCGTCTGAAACCCTTGCCGGGCGAGGTGAGTGCTGAGGGTCCCACGTTTGGGCGCCAGTTGTTGCGGTCCAAATACAAGACAGAACAAGGCTTTAAGCAAGCAAGCAGGCTGGTCTGCCGACGGGCTGGTCTCCTGTCAGCTTTCCACCCTCTCTTTTATTCTTTCTCTCCCCCCACGCATTACATACTCCAACAGATAAAAGGAATACACTGGCTTTGTTTAATATTCTTATTTACTAATATCTATCTACCGCATTCCTTGCTCTCAGGCCTTGAGCCCAGTCCTGGGAGGCTTCCCACGGTTCATGTCATCTGGGCGAGATTCCAAGGTTCATGCCCTTGAGAGGAGCCGTGTGTGCACTGCTCCTACACAACACTCCGGGTGTGCCCTGAATGTTGCCAAGTGCATGAACCTTGCATGAGTAGGAAGTGTTCTCTGCACGCCAGCAGCCTGACCATGTATTAAAGTTCTACATGAACTAGGTAGAAAGTTCCAACTTTTGTTTGTTTCCTCCCTTCTTTCATTTTGTTCAGGTAAATCTTGCTGGTGGTTGTGTGCAAAACATAATACGTCCAGTCCAGTAATAATAATTTAGGTCACATCTTACATTTTTACTTTCCACAGTCACTAGTATGATGTGAATGTATCAGAGTAGCTGCAGAAAACAGTTCAGGCAGGTACTGCGCACATGTGTGTGTAAGGGGGAGGTGAGTGAAGGGGAAGAGAACTGGGCCACACACACCCCTCCCCTGCTGCAACTCTGGATGATCCAGAACTGCGCAGGGCACACACCCTTCAGGGTCACTTGAACCCATGCAGCCTCCTCTCCTCCCCTCACCCATGTGGTGTTTGAGAAAGACGCTGTGAAGAGGAGCCAGCCAAAGCGGAAAGTAGGCAGAGCAGATACAGAAAGCAGTTCAAACTGGCACCTAAGGATGCAGATGATGTCATCAGACTGCTTTTGGCAGTTTTCACTCTGAACTCCTGTGAGACTGGCTGTTTGTTCCCTCCCTCATGTGATCTTCACCCACTTGTCACTTTTGTGCCTTCCTTTGTCTTTCTATCAAGCTAATCCCTCCTAACATTACCCCACTGAAAGGATTTAAAAACGAATAAAAAAATCACTGAACTAACATGACATTTGCTGTCATTGTATTGTTCACTCTGCTTGTGTTATACTCCTTCCCTTCCACTGCATCTGCCTTGTTCATTTAGGTAATAACCTCTTTGGGGCATGAGCATCTTTTTCTATCTTTGTACAGTGCCTAGCACAATGGGCCCTATTAGTTGTTGGCCAGTGGGCACTGCTGTAACAATAGATCGTCTGAGTGGGAGTCTAAAGAAAGAACAGGATTTATCAATGGAAGTATACAGCAATGTCCAAAGTATATGTGCTTTTGCCAAACAAATTCACTGCAAGGTGGTGTGGAAGACAAAGAGACAAGTGGTTTTACCCCTTATATTATCAACTTCTGGGAGGGATACGTACTACTTTTCTACCAGTGGCTCATCTTTCTTTCCTCTGTAATAAATATAATCAAGGAGTTAAACACACTGAGTTCACTTCCTGCCCTACTATAGCTTTTTTTTCTAAAGGTTGCCTTGCTATTAGAAGACACATTTGCTTGTTCTCCTTTTACCTTCCGTCCTGCAGAGGTACTGCATGCAACACTGAAGTCAACAGATGTGATCCTACAGCCCTTAGGTTTGCATAAAGTTAATGACAGCTGTACATGTAAGGGCTGCAGGCCCATCCATCCCCATGATTTAACTCCCCACCATCTGATCCCCGATTAAAGTAACTAGAGCCAAGTAACGAAGAGTCGTGTGCACCTTATAGACTAACAGACGTGTTGGAGCATACGGATGCATTGGATGCATGTAGTGGAAATTTCCAGAGGCAGGTATAAATATGCAAGCAAGAATCAGGCTAGGGATAACGAGGTTAGTTCAATCAGGGAGGACGAGGCCCTCTTCTAGAAGTTGAGGTGTGAACACCAAGGGAGAAGAAACTGCTTTTGTCGTTGGCTAGCCATTCACAGTCTTTGTTTAATCCTGAGCTGATGGTGTCAAATTTGCAAATGAACTGAAGCTCAGCAGTTTCTCTTTGAAGTCTGGTCCTGAAGTTTTTTTGCTGCAGGATGGCTACCTTTAAATCTGCCATTGTGTATCCAGGGTGGTTGAAGTGTTCTCCTACAGGTTTTTGAGGACCTGGGGAAGGGGTCAATGGGGGACACACACAGCTTCTGGTGTAAGGGAGGAAGCGTGGTTAGAGGGAGTCCCTGAAATAGAAGGGGTAGAGAGGGTGGCAAATAGGGAACTGGGGGGAGGGAGGGAATGGAGGGATGCGAGGAGGCCTTCATGTGTGCAGTGCGCATAGCCTACAGAAGCAACAAATTGACCTTCTAGTTTAGTTAAACTTTTTTATTTGAATAGCACCTGCTGCAAAATTATCTTTAAAAGGAAATGAGCACTTTGAATGCTGCAGGTTGGATTCACCTGAACAGAATTCGGATGTCATCAATGTCCACAATCTTGTGAGCATTCTGATGGTGGGCCAATTTTGTGCGGTGCTTGCCATCTTGCGAAGAAATGCAACAGTTCAGGACTTTTGCCTGAACTACCTGAAGATTCCCTTATGGCCACTAGAGGCCACTGTGCCACTTGTGCTGCTGGCAGCCTTAGCAGTTGCCTGCTATATTGGGGTGCCCCTGAGCAGGACTCTGGAGCAGGTTTTGCATAGCAGTGCCTCTTCAGCAGTGTTAGTCCAGGAAGAAGGAGTTAAAGGAGGTAGCCCAGGAGAAGACCCTCTCCTGTAGGTTGGAGAGGGGGTGGCTGCTGGTGCTTGCCAGGGATTGGGGGCTGAGGAAGTTGGTGGCTGTGGAAATGGGGGGCTACAGAATCGTGCTGGGATAATGGGGGGATGCAGGAATCTGCCAGTGAGGAGCAGGGAGGGGCTCTGGGCAGTTGGGAGGAGTGCAGGGTGATGGTGCACAGGGGAGTTGGGGCCTGTAAATTTGGGTGCACATTTTGTATTCATTTAAGGGTCAATTTTTGACTTGTAATTGTCAGGCAAAATCAGGAGGAGATCAAAACCAAACAACAGGCCAAAAATCACGATTTATCCTTTAAATCTCACAAGTTTGGAATTGTGACCCTTGGAGTTGGAAATACTGGAACTCACACAGTAAGTCTGAAAACAAAACTCCCTTCTGGGACTCATCCTGCCTCCGTAGTTAGAAGCTCGGGAAGATGCTCCCCTGTAGAGGGTGCTACATTTTTTTTTAAAGCTTTGGAATCCAGGGTCTGACATGGGCAGTGCATGGTGGCCAGCTAAAGCCCTGGATGCTCCCACATGATGCTCTCTGCTGGGGAGCAAACTCAGTAAATCCTGGCTGAATGAGATGTATGTGCATAAAGGGGGTAAATGGCGCTCCTGTGGCACAATCTCCCCATTCTCCAGGGTCTGTGGAAGGCCTTCAGTGCAAACCACGTAGCGGAGTTTTGGGACTAAATGGAGCGCTATCTTTCGTTCTGTGACAAACTCTTAACCTTACTTGTCATAGAGATGTTATACAGAAAGAATGGGCAAGGGCAGCATTAGCTGGCACTTTGCTCTCTCTGAGCCCCCAGGAGACCTCACAGAGTACCATTACAGAAGGGAAACTCCATGGCAGCATTGCCACTGAGCTGGCGGTGTTGTCTGTGCAGAGTCAGAGCCTGGATACTAGCGCAGAGGGGCTTTCACTGAGCATGGCTGCCTTAGGGCCTGGACTTCTTTGTGGTTCTGTCTGAGGGAGAGGTCTTGCCCCCTGCCAATTGGTGCTGACTCCTTCTCTTTGCAGGAAGAATGAGTCTCACCATGTGAGTTTAAATTCAGAGTTTTGTGATTAATTTTTCCTCATCCGTGTCTTTGAGTCAAAGGAGGTCATGTGACCCAGAAAGTATGACTGTCAAGAGCCAGTGGGCATTTCTTTGTACAGACTGTCCATAGAAGTGTGTTCTCACTCTGCCAGTGGATACTAAATATCTCTTGTAAAAAATAATTTGCACTCTTCCACTAAGACTTTAAAAATAACAAACACTACCCATTGTTCAGACATGAGCTTACAGTTTGTTGGCTCCACAGCTGTAGAGCTGGCCACCCGGCAGAGGGAGCTGACAAACCCTGCTCCTAGCATTGTGCTGCATCACGGTTCAACTAAGGTTAGGGAGAAGAAATGCTATCTGCTGTGGCGTGCTGTTTGCAGAATTACAATACCTACTCTCTAATTGGAGTGAATGCCTTGGACTTAATAGCTATGTGGTTCACACCCAAGCAGGCTGTCTCCACTAGAGATGGTTAGGAATTTTTCAGTGAAACATTTTTGCATTGGAAAATGCTAATTTGTAGAAAATGGAAGTTTCTGAGGAAACATTGCAACAAAATTTTAGTGGGGAAGATTTCTCAGGTCCAAGATAGAATTTTCTGGGGAGAGAGAAAAAGCCCCACCTGAGAATGGCTAATGGTTAGGGAAGCCTGGGTTCAAGTCACTGCTATGCCTGATTGGGACATCCCAGGTGAGTGTCCTGGCTATTGGCTGTTTTTAGGTGGATCTGTCTCTGGGCTTTGTTGTGGAAAATTTTGGAAGGTCTCAGTTTCATTTTGATGCAGAATGAAAACAAAAGTAAAAACCTCAATTTTTTTTGCAAAACGGAATGATTGTTTTCCAGCCAGCCCTTGTCTCTATTTCCCTAACCTGGTACTCACCAGGATCGATTCAAGAACAGCTAGGCCCCATGAGGACTTGCTTAGCTTGGTGCCCTTCCTAAGAAATCATTCCATCCTTCATACATTATAAACATATACAATTAGCAAAAACTTGAACTGTAAATTTTCCCATTACTCACAGATGAGTGTGGGATAGGAGGACAGGGCAGGCTTGATGGGGGTGGGCTGAGAGGACTGGGAATGTAGAGATGGGCAGGCTGGGTGGGAAGATGGCTGAGTGAAAAGGGCATGTAGGGACAGGTAGCAGCAAGGAAGAGGTGGTGGTAGAGGATGTGCCCCATTGGGGTAGCATGAAGCAACTGTGGGGAGGAGGAACAGGAACAGACCCTAGGAAGGTGGGCCCAAAGGAATTTGTGCTTGTGACAGAAAACTCATAGAGGGTAGAGAAGAAGATGTGTCTTTGGGCAGGAGGCGGGCCTTGGAGGAATCTTTGCTTGGGACAGGAGTTGCCTCATGGAGGCAGAGAGGCTGTTCCACTTAGAGTTTCATAGCACCGGTAAGAGGGACTGCAAAGGAAGCTCTGCTAGGCCACAGCTGAGCGGGGAGGAGCAGTGTCAGGGAACAAGGGCCTTGAAGGAATCTCAATGAGAAGAGTCCATGGAAGTTGGGGGTGGGAGAGAAATTTCAGCCCATGTCAGGAATAGAATTTGGAAGCTAGGGAAGAAAGAGGATATTGATACACTTTCCCTCTTATGTATCTCCTGGCCCAGAATCCCCATTTGTCTTGCTTGGTTTTGGTTGGGTTTTGGGTTGGGCTTGTAGCTCTGGGAAGCTCCAAACACTGGGCCAGGCCTGAAGGCTGTGGGTCTAAGATGCATAGAGTAAGAGGTTTGGCTTGGCACTCTAGCACTTAGGACCAAGATGGTATATTTGGAAGTAGCAAGCATGCACAAAATCTTTGTGCCCTCTGCAAATTTGCCCTATACAAGTTTCCCCGGTGGGGTCCCTCTGTGACTTCAGGTTGTGCAGCGTGTCAAGTCTGGCCCTACTGCTCCTCGTGGTCTCTTGCTGTTATTGATTGTGTTGTCTCAATTTAGGCTTCACAATGGAAAATCTTGATTTGTACATGAAAAGCCCAATGCATACATAGGTGGTTGCAGTTAAAGGGCCTGACTCTTTGTTACCTTCTCCTTAATGTAGTTATTTGCACCAGTGCAATGTGAGTGCAACGTGGGTGTAAAACATTACACTTGTTCGCGTTTGAGGCTCATTTTGCGTTGATGTAAACTACTACCCAAGATTCAGGCCAAGCCTTTTTCTACCAATGTGCACATTTTTAGCTGTCTGAGGTTTTCCTGTATATATACTGGGGAGCACAGATAACACTGGTAATAATTTGAAACTGGTGGAAATTTTTAAAATGTTACCACTGTATAGTACTATATATTCTGCCATTCCTTGACCCACCCCAAAACTTTATGGTGCTTGAAGTTTCTGCTGCTGAAGTATAATGAAATGGAGGAAGCAAACCTAATGAATGAATAAAATTAACCTAAACTTTTCTTTCCTTGTCATTTGCACAGTCCGTAGAAATCTGCAAGGTGTTTTGTCAGAATTTATGTGGGCTTTTTAATTAAAAATCCTTGAATTTCTTGCAATGATCATTAATCTGGGGACCACTCCTACGCTATTGAAGTTGCTATTGATTTTAGAGGAACAGGACTGGAATCTGTTTCTGCTCTCTATGTCCTAACTTCTGTATTTCATTATGAGATATTATGATTGATTTGCAATGTGGTAGCACCAAGGAGCCCCGACCATGGACCAAGACCTCATTATGCTAGGTGCTGTACAAACGCAGAACAAAAAGATAGCTCCTGCCCCAAAGAGTTTACAGTCTAGGTAACTTATTAAATCTAAGTATATAATTGAAACTTAGAATATATTAGCTAGGGATATTCAAAGATATTTATTGACTTAAGCGCCTTTACTGTTGCTGGACCAAGTTTTATACATAAACCCTCACATTCCGAAAAGCTGCATCCCAAATCTAATATTTGTCTAATGACACCACTGACATCACTTTTATGTTTCCTTTAAGGCTTGTAGGAAATGCCTCGGATACACAAGTAACATAATATTTAGCTATTTGCAGATGAGATTGTCCTTACAAACATGTGGAATATCAAATTGAGACAAGCTATATTAGTTGAATGTTTCTAGTGTGATGGCCAACAGGGGAAAAAAGGCTAACAATGTTGATATTTAAGAACGTGCAAATAGCCTTTAGAATTAAGCACCTCATTAAGATCAGTGCGGAAAGTTTGCATTACTTTTGGTTTTGGACCACCATTTAGTTCAGTTTATAATGTCAGGGTTTTCCTCACAACCTGGAAGACTGGAAAGTTAGGCCCACATTTTCAGAAGTGACCTCTAATTTTGAATGCCTCAAATTTTAGGTTCACTTTAGACATCGAGGGGCTGACTTTCACAGGAGATGAGCACCGACAATGCAGTTGATATTCAATTGAAATCTGAAGTAACTCTGTGGAACTCAATGGAGCTGCTTTGGATTTACACAAGTGCCCCAATTAGCCCCCAGTATGTTACTTGTTCCTTTGGGCTCAGATTTTCAAGCTACCTGTTAGGGTATGTCTGCACTGCATATTAACCTCTGGCCGAGACTCAGTTTTAAGCCCAAACCCTACTGCCGTTCAAACACAAGGCCTTCTGACTCAAGCCAGAATCCTCTCAGGACTCAGGCCTGTGAACTCCCTTTGGGCTGAGTTCCACTGTGGCACAGATCCAAGCCCACTCATTTCATAGTAAAAAGAAAAGGAGTACTTGTGGCACCTTAGAGACTAACCAATTTATTTGAGCATGAGCTTTCGTGAGCTACAGCTCATTGGTTAGTCTCTAAGGTGCCACAAGTACTCCTTTTCTTTTTGCGAATACAGACTAACACGGCTGTTCCTCTGAAACCTGTCATTTCATAGTGTGGCTGCTGCTCCAGTCTGGGGTCGCCATGCTTGTGTCCAGAGAGTCTGCCAATGCTATCCCACAATCCCCTAGGCCTGTGTCTCCTGGCCCTTCTATGCCCATACTTCCCACTTGATTCCCTGTAACCAGAAGCAACCTCCTGGTTCCCATACAACGGCTTGGCATTTAGCCCCTTCTTTTCATGTGGACTCCTCAACTGAAAACAGTTAACCCTATTGTGTGTTAGCTATGGCCAGAACTATGAAGAACCCCTACATCCTGTGCAGTGCTTGCTGGCCAGAGGAACATAGCTGGATTCTAGTAAATCTCTGGTGTGAGGCGAGCAAGACATTTGACTTCAACAAGAGTGCAAGAAATAACTTTGTACACATGATCCTCTCGGAGAGGCTTGCAGCGTTGGGGATCATCTGGAGCACCGATCAATGTGGAGAGCGAGTCCAGCGCCTCAAGACTGACTACTGCTAAACCAGGGATGATTACCAGACCTCAGGGAACTCCGTGTCTACCTGCGCCTTCGATGAGGAATTCAGTCAGGTGCTGGGAGCTACACCAAGCACTGATCCTGCAGTGGTGTATACAATCTGCTGAGCAGGGATGGCACTCTTATAACTCCACAATCACAGGCACCACTGGGGGAGAACCTGTAGCTGCCAGATCAAGCACCCAAGGTAACCCTGGTGCTGACACTGGTCCTTGATCAGGCTGTGCCACCTGAGCAGTGACAACATGTGGTAGGTCTGTGTTCAGAGGACCTGTTCGGGGATGGCATTGAAGATCAGCCTGCATCTGAAGCAGCAGCAGAAGAAGTGCCAGAGCCTGGTATGTTTTGTCCGCTGGATTTGTTGTTGTTCATGTAGGAATTGGATGGATTTCTGGGCTATGCCAAATTACATTGTCCATACAAGCCAGGGTCATAGTGTGCTTCTCCTGAGGGTGAAATCCATGCCACTTCCCTAATGCCCTCCTCCCCCAGACACCACGTGAGATTCAAAATAGATACCAGAAAATGGCGGGGGAGATTAAACAAACAACTCTGATGAATTTTTACTAGATCATGCCTACTGTTAGAAAGATGGGTTGGGGTATTAGATTTATGAGCCTTATATTACATTTTACTTGCAAGAAAGGGAACTTAAAGGTTGGCCATGCGGGACTATCCTGACTTCCTGTATTTTGAATCCAAATAGTACCTGAGGCTGTATTTACTCTACATCTGCCTGTATAAGGGGTCCAAATGGTAGCAGAGAATGTATATAGTCCTGGGCTGCCAATCAGATCTGTGTGGGTATGCAGGGTGCTTATAAGGAGCATGTAACGTGTCTCCAGCCGAATTCAGCACCTTATTGATTTTTACCATGAATTCCACCCATTCCTAGCTGATGATACATGTGAACTTTTCATGATGTAGGAACTCTAGACAGTTGGTTAAATTCCGGGGCAGGGCATATTTGTTAGGGCCGCCTCTGTATCTCATGATCCCCCTCCCTTTGTAGTTGTGCTAGTTGGTTATCAGCCACCTAAAAGTCTTCTTGCCATAGATGGATAGTTCTCCTCCGCTGGCCTGGAACAGAAGGTCAGATTTACACTCTAACACCTCCAGAACAACAATATTCTCCAGAGCTTGCCCTGCCTGAAAGGATTGTAAAACCATAGCTCATAACGACATTTGTGATAGGAAATCCTCACTCCCCAGGAAAAATTGTGGGGACATATACATTATTTTAATTGATTTTGCTATGTGCATCTTCCCAGGATGTGTGTTGGCTTTCAGTGTAGCTTGCAGGACCTACACTGGCCAATGGGGTGTGTGTGTGTGTGTGTGTGTGAATAAAATAAAACCAAATGACAAAAGTTATCATCCTTTGATCTTAGTAGAAATTTATTTTTTCCCCATAGTCAGACAATAATGTGCTCTTTCACTTGCCTTGTCAGGTCCTGCCTCTGTGGGGCAGAGGCAAGGGATCAGGAGCATGGGGGTGCGGACTCTCAACCAATGCACAAGAAGGAAGAAAGTCTCTGATGAACCGATGGCAGACATTTGGTCAAAGCCTATCAGCACTGAGTATCGGAGAGGAAAAGAGAGCTGGAAAGAGAGGCTGTGCAGCACAAGGGGCTGTTCAGTTCCTGGACCATGATCACAAGTTGGGGGAGGAAGAGACAGCACAGCAGAAGGAGCTTTTTGAGAGGTCGCTCAGTCTCCTGGCCACCAGACTGCAGGCTCAAGCTCCAGAGCTAGTGCCACACACTGAATCCCCTCCACACTATCTTGTCCTACAATGTCTGCAGCCTTTGGGCAATTCTTGTGCTCAGTTTGCACACGAGGTTGCACGAGCAGGTTTCATTAATTTTATAAAATGCAACACCATGGTATCCATAAACTGTGTGTTGAGGTACGTGACCAGTTTCTGTAATGTGCATAAGGCTATGATTTTTTCATGGATGTTGCGGGAAGTCACAGAATCCGTGACTTCCCGCGACCTCCGTGACTTCAGCCCATGGCAGCTGGCAGGGGTGGTGGGGGGAACATGGAGTTCCAAGCCCCCAGAGTTCAGAGTGGGCCCTAACAGCTGCCTAGCCACTACAGAAAAGTGTGGGGACCCGGCAGCTGAGCTCTCCATTTGGTCATGGATATTTTTAGTAAAAATCAGGGACAAGTCACAGGCTTCCGTGAATTTTTCTTTATTGTCTGTGAGTTGCCCCTGACTTTTACTAAAAATATCCATGACAAAATCTTAGCCTTAAACATGCATAACAAAATGTATAAAATTTCATCACTGTAATCCAGAAACTGTGCAGTGAGGCACATAAATAGTGCCTGAAATGCATAATAAAATTTCATAAAAATAAAGTCTTCCAAGCTATTGCAGCCCCAGGAATAGTGGAATGAGTGTGGCATAATTACAAATACTATGTCATTCCCTCTCTCCATTGCATTGTGAAGTCCCATTATGAGGGCGCACATATACCTGACTTCTGTTGCACGTGTGAATCCTGCCCTGGTAAATGATTGGTGCACTTTCTGGTTGAGTATACTGGTCCAGCAATCCATCAGTGTCTTGAGTCCACTCCTAGGAAAATGGCTCACTTTTGTCCTCACAGACATTGTGCAGCGCAAAGTAGGCCACAAAAATGCAGCTGGCATCCAAATGGTTTGGAAGGTAGAGATTTCAATCTGCCCCAATGCACATACCATCACTGTCCAACAGCTTCTGTACAGGTAGTTGATCCTTCTTTTATTTCAAGCTCTCTGTGATCAGAGTACAGTTTCATAAGCCCTGGCAAAAGGGGGCTTGTGGAATAACAATGAGGACAGTGACTCCATTTGTAACAATATTTGGTAGGAATAACGTCCCACCTTGTCCATAAAGGTAGAGTCCACTGAAATCAAATGGCAGCTTTGAAACTCCCAACTGTACTGAACAATTAGTTTGTAATGTTAATTTTGTGTAGTTGTATCTGGATATTGCACATTGTATTACCTTAACTTGTTCTGAGAGAAACAAAATGAAACACAAATATTAGAAGCATCATTAAAGATTGCTTTCTAAACAGTGGTCTAAATGATTGTGACAGTAAAAAATATGTTGAATAAGATGAAAGAAAATTGTTGGAAAACTGGTCTAGTTACCAGCTACTCATAGTTTAATTGTCTATGGACTGTTTCTCTTCAAGGGAATGAATCATACATTATAAACATAAAATAATAGGACATTATCATATAGGGTTATGTGAGTTTACTCCATATCATATGATGTGAAAGAAATATACAACAGGGAACGAGATGTGTGGACCGAAAAAAAAAAAAAGCATAATCTTCCCTCCAGGTATAAGTGACTTCAATTCAGATAAGAGGCAGGTCCTTTGAGAATGCTCCCTTTCAGAAATTTCTCTCATATAAAGTATTTTCATCTCAGCTGGGGTCTGAAGGGTAGGCAGTATGCACTAGCTTATCTCCAAACATGTAGCGGTAACAGCATGTGAACAACCCCTGCGGCTAAATCAGATAGTCTGGTGCCAACCCCACTTTCTGTTAAGCTTCTGTGCAGTCTTACAGGGTTGATCTGTTAAGACTCTAAAAGTATAATGGTTTAATATTACAACCATCCTTGATAAACAGTATAACAGCATACTAGTAAGGGAGGGATGTAACCAGACTTAAACACCCAGGAGTCCCTGGGGTTCTAATTTTACTTTTTTACACATCTAGATAATAATAATACTTAACAGCTCTATGCTCCCCCCCCACATCCATAGCTCTCAAAGCACTGTACAAAGGAGGGGTAGAAATCGTTTATCCCAGTTTTACAGATGGGGAAACTGAGGCACAGAATTAAAAGGCTATTAGCATAGTCCTCTTTGAAACAGGACTGCATTGCCACGAACTGGGCACATTTTGGTTTGCTCCAGCAGTGTTCCCATGGGGCAGTTAGCGGCATAGCTTTGGTGCACTCTGCAGTTCACACCTCCGTTGTCTGCACGGCGGCGCAGTGTGGACAAGCCCCCAGCAGCAGCAGCAGGAGTGCATTTTTTGGATTGATAATCAGTGATATGTTAGTGAGTTCTGAATCTTTACAGTAGAAATTAAGGCTTTAGATCAAGAGGCAATCAGAGATTTCAGATTTTGAAAACAGATGACTCCAGTGTCTGGAGTCTACGGAATAGATAATAGACGGTGATGCTCTTGACCCTACCCACAGGGGCACGTGGAAGGCTTTCAGAGCCAGACTGACTGAACTCCTGTGGACAGTTGACTTAAGAAAGCCACATCTTTAGGGCTTTTGTTTTTCAGGTTTTATTAATTTCATTTTTTGGAGTTCATTTTTAGCAAATTCTGAGGTTTCTGTAGATGTTCCAAAATCAGGGTTTTTCAGGGCTATTCTTTTTGCATATACTGGTAATTAATGTAATCTCTGGAATGTTCCTCTGACGGTGCTTACTCCCATCACTTGTTAGTCAAGGGGTTAAGAGCCAGGTAGTGCGCTGTGATTGATAGATTGCCTCATGGCCAGAGGGGGTGGGGCTAGATAATCAATAGACACTTGGCCCATATAAAGAAGCTGAGGGAACTTGGTGGGGGTGGAGGGACAAACTGCAGAGGAGACAGGTGAGAAACCCACAGAGAGCAGGTCAGGGCAGAAGAGTAGTTAGTTCAGTAGAGAAAGGAGAAGCCAAAGGCCTGAGAACCAAAGGGAGGCTGTGTTAAGTACAAGCTGGGGATAAGCAGCACAAAGGTTCTTGGAGGTAGGAAGCAACTCAGGGAAACAGCAGCATGTTTGAAGAAGCGGACCTAGCTGCTTAATACAGGGTCCATTGGCTGGAATCCAGAGTAGAGGGTGGGCCTAGGTTCCCTTACCAATCCTGACATGCAAGCCCAACAGAAAGAATATTGAACCCAGGGTAGGGCTGAAGACTGACCCCAAAAGATGGTCTGAAGCATCGCCAAAAGTTGGGATAGAAGCTGAAGGCTCTTTCATGTTGGGATATTTTGTGAAGTTTCACATTGGACCTTTTCATTACCCCCGATGAGGAATGAACTTTATGTGACTCTGTGGGAGGGTTGAGCTATGGAAGACCTGGTGAGAGGCAGATGGCCTGCAGCAGGTGATGGAAATAAGGGCATCACAGTCCCCGACACAAGAGGGCGTGACGGGTGACGAGTATACTGCCTTATAGTTCCGAAGTGCATTTTAATGTAGTATTGTTTCAAACAGCTCTACATTAAAGCATATTAGAGAACCTTCATTGCACACCAGCACGGTCTCCACAGACCAATTAATGCACAACATGGTAGTTAGCTTTATAAATCACACCCTGTAGTCTGTTACTGCACTAGGTAGACTAGCCCTTAAATACAAGTAACCATTTTGGGTGCTTTACCGGTGTTTATTGGATAAACACTGATTTCTTTTTGGTATTGAGGGTGTATTATTTGTGTTTTTCAGTTTTAACTGATAAAATCCTACATATCTTGTTTAGGTGTGTTCCATTAACAGGCATTGGCTGGTTCATGCTGGTCACAGCCTAACGTGTTTCTGACCCTGATTCTCCTTTTTGTCCATATTAAATTTGGTATCACCAGGGTGCTGCTGTTGACTGTCTCACTTCCATCCAGTTAAAAACCAACATTTAAAAATAAAAAGATCACCAAGCCTGATTTTTGTAGGCAGGAAAAGAAGAGGTTTCTGTGTTGTGTTTACTTTTGGGAGGTGCTTAGCTTCTATGGTGATGGAGACCATGAGTCATAAGAACGGCCCTACTGGATCAAACCAAAGGTCCATGTAGCTCAGTATCCTGTCTTCCGACAGTGGCTAATGCCAGGTGCCCCAGAGGGAATGAAGAGAGCAGGTAATCATCAAGTGATCTAACCCCTGTTGCCCATTCCCAGCTTCTGGCAAACAGAGGCTAGGGACACCATCCCTGCTCATCCTGGCTAATAGCCACTGATGGATCTATCCTCCATGAATTTATCTAAAAGTTCTTTTTTGAACCCTGTTATAGTGTGGCCTTCATAACATTCTCTGGCAAGGAGTTCCACATCTGCAATTTTTGCCACCTCAGTGTTTACCCCTTTCCCCAGATCATTTATGAATATGTTAAATAGGACTGGGCCCAGTACAGACCCCTGGGGAACACTAATATTTACTTCTCTCCATTCTGAAAACTGACTATTTATTCCTACACTTTGTTTCCTATCTTTTAACTTTGCTTACTTTGCTTAAGAGCCTCTGTTGAGGGACCTTGTCAAAGGCTTTCTGAAAATCTAAATACACTATATCCACTGGATCCCCCTTGTCCACATGCTTGTTGACCCCCTCAAAGAATTCTAGTAGATTGGTGAGGCATGATTTCCCTTTACAGAAACCATGTTGACTATTCCCCAACTAATTATGTTCATCTGTGTGTCTGACAATTTTGTTCTTTACTGTAGTTGCAACCAGTTTTTTTCCCAAACATGAATTTTTCACCCCTGCTTCACTGAGAATTATGAAACACAACCAGCGTGGAGTGTCTAGCTTCAGTTATTTTTGAGCCACATGAGAGTGAAAAATAGCACCTGGAACATAAGATATGGGAAGGGTATTTCCCCTTCTTCCCCCACTGCCGCAGTGCATTAGTCAAACTGCTGAGCCAATTTTGCTAAAACTTTAAAAAAACAAACCAACTTTTGGGCTGAGACTATCAAGTGAACTAGTCACACCAGAATTTGAATTTGGCCCCTTTTTCTATTGATTAAATTATCAATAGTCATTGATTTTAATTTAACAAATGCGTTTGTTATTCCAAACCATTTGACAGATGGTTCCACGTAGCTGTATTTCAATTTATAGATTGCCTACGAGCTCATCACCATGACTTGTGCTGAGTGTTCACTGTCAGTGATTTGTCTCCCAAACCCACTAGGAGTTGTCGGGATGTGATCATTGCTGGCACAAATATTTGTGCGTGTGCTGTGTTGATAGGCCCAGAGGTTTGGATTTGAATCCCAGATTTCACACCGTGTCATGGTGTGGTGCAGGCAGGAACAAGGAACACACAGAAGCACATGCGGGTTCAGTAAGAGTAAGTGATTTATTTGTGCTATCCGGGACATGTGACATCAGTGTCAGAACCACTTCTGGGTGCAGAGAGACCTCCAATATTAACACGTTCAGTGCCTACCATCATAAGTTCATCCATTCACATGAATATTTGGAATACTCTCTGCAAACATTCTCGTGCACAGGCATTCACTTGCACGGATATTTGTTGAAAGTGAATAAAAGGGCTTAGCAACCACCGGTGAAACATGGTGTTTTTTTTAAAATTCAAATAAATCTTTGGTGAGTATTTGTGGTCTCCCCCCCCCCACACACACAATATTTGACTTGTTGAGACTAAGCTCAGACCAAGTATAGAACATTTCATCTCCAAAAAATCTTTTTTTCTTTAAAGTTATGAGGAAATAAAAAGGGTGGTTAGACTAAAAAATGGAACTCAGCCTTAACACAGTGTCTACAACAAACATTCTAAAAATGGCTCAGGTACGTGACTCAATTTTTCCAAGAAAATAAATGGACAAAATAGCAGCATTAATTATGGATGTGGCCTAATTTATTAGGTAAAGTTCAAAAATAGTAAAATATATACATAAAACAAATGACTACACATATATCTGAAGTAGTGAACCATATAACATACAGTGATGTAGCACAGGGAGAAACATGCAGTAAGTTTTTCCAAGTTTTTTTCACTTGAGATATCTGTATATGAAGGTATATTTTCTTTCAAAAGAACAGGCTAAATAGCCTATTAATGCTGTACTTGTAATATTAGTACAAACCCTTTCAAGACAGATTACAGTATTTTGATTCGTTACTCATCAGTATGTATAATTATCGTTTAACAATATTATGAAGGGCTGATGAAGAGAAGCAGGTGTTTAAACATGCAGTGCCAGTAGGTTTGACACAGCGTCTCATTCTCTTTATGTGTACTTTTAAAAGACATCTATTGAAGGAGTGAAAACAATGGGGCACTGCACAATGGTAAGTGTTTGCTTAAAAAACCCTCCATATGGTAGATATTTAGTTAATTTTTAGATCACTTTAAAAAAAATTAACAAGGATGTTTTTATAATAGTAATATTTACATCAAGAGAAAAGGGAGGAATGTATGTTAGACTTATAGATAGTCAGGAATTGCGATACTCAGATGGACTTTATACCTACAACATACCTTTGGCCATCAGTATAACTAAATAACTTGTAACTTGAAAAAGGACAATGTGGTGTTTAGTTACCAAATAAATTTCTCTCAGAATGACTGATTGACAGGCTGTGCCAAATATCATTCCAGTCCTCTAATACCCAGATGTTCTACTGACCTGCAAACCTTTAAGCACAAGTAACTTGTCTCACACAAATAGTTTAATTGAATGTTGTGGGACTACTCACATGAGCAAAGTTAATTGGGTGCATAAATGTTCGAAAGATCAGGGCCATTAGGAGTATGCTGATAATTGTGTTACAAATGCCTAAGAGTAAAAAGAAAAATTTTTTAACTTATGCAGGTAATTATTTCTGTGATGTGGCAACAGTGCTATGGACCAATGTGCAAGTCCTCATCTTTCTATCAGACAAAGTAGTAACCAATCCAGAAACAGGGTTCTTATGTCTAGTCTCTCCTCCTTCTCTGTGTGTAGGTATGTTTCCCTCTTGAGAACTTCCAGATCCAGATTTAAAAACTGTATTTGGCCTATATTTCCTAGTTACTTTGCTTGATCCTGCCTGCCTACAATGATATCCTGGTAAGGTGTTCATTCTGGTATTGTTCCATCACAGAACACAATTAGGGAAGAGAAAAGCATCTGCTTTTTTGTGATAGAGCAACATCATTATGAATGAATAGGTTTGACTAGCAGTGATGGTATCCAGGGAGGGAAGGAGTCAGTGGTGGATTTAGAGTAAGTGGGCAGCTGTGTGCAGCTTCATTTTTGGGGCTCCCCCCCAACCCAGGACCCAGCCAAGAAAAAGAATATTCTCTCTTCTCTTCCCCCCAACCCTGTTTTTCATTTTTTTCTTCATCCTTCTCCTATATTATAAGTAATAGGAAGTAAATGAAAATAAAGTGAGGTACTTCAATTGCGGAAGGGGGTGGGGGTGTGGGGGTCAGGCTCTGGGAGGGAGTTTGGGTGCTGGGTGCAGGCTCTGGGCTGGGGCAGGGTGTGGGCATGTGGGAGGGGGTGAGGGGGGCAGGATCTGAGAGGAAGTTTAGGTGTGGGGTGCGGGCTCTGGGCTGGGGCAGGGGGTTGGGGTGCAGGAGGGGTCAGGGGGGCAGCACTTACCTTGGGTGGCATGTCTCCCAAAGCGATTGGCACGCCCCTCTGGCAATGTCTCCTAGGTGGGTGCGGGGACAGGGGCTCTCTGTGCACTGCTGCACACAGGTACCGACCCCGCAGCTCCCATTGGCTGCAGTTCCTGGGAGCACCCTAGCAGCGGTCCTGGGAGCCAGCTGCACCGGCCACTGCTCGGGCGGTCCCTGGCAGCTGGCTCTAGGGACCATACAAGCAGCGGCCAGTGTGGCAGGTCCCGGGGACTGCCCAAGCAACAGTCCTGGGGGTGACCCTGGGGGTAGTTGCACCGGCTGCTGCTCAGGAGCTCCAGGCATCTAGCTCTTGGGACTGCTGGAAAAGTGGCCGATGTGGCTGGCTCTGGCGAGGGCCTGAGCAGCAATCCAGGGAACCTGGAGGACGTCCAGAGAGCAGTCCCCAAGGAGCAGTGGCTGGGGGGCAGTCAACCCCTAGCACTGGAGCAGGACCCCTGACCAGCAGGGGCGCCCCGGAGCAGCAGGGCCCTGGAAGTAGAGATTTAGTCAGGGGTATTTTTGGTAAGAGTCATGGACACATCGGGGCCTTGAATTTTTATTTATTGCCCGTGGCCTGTCCATGACTCTTACCAAAAATACCCATGACTAAATCTTAGCCTTAATTATTATTAACAGTCATAGTGTGATTATTTTGGGGAGGGTTATTATCAACTTTATTTAAACTAAAAAAATATTTTTTTTCTGTACATCTCTTTCTATATGACTCATTAAAAAAATGTGTTAATTAAATTTGAGACTGAACTCCTTGGGGGAGAACTGTATGTCTCCTTCTCTGTGGTTTTATCCACATTCTGCCATGTATTTTGTGTTATGGCAGTCTCTGATGATGGCCCAGCACATGTTGTTCAATTTAAGAACACTTTCACTGCAGATTTGTCAAAATACAAAGAAGGTACCAATGTGAGATTTCTAAAGATAGCTACAGCACTCGACCCAAGATTTAAGAATCTGAAGTGCCTTCCAAAATCTAAGATGGATGAGGTGTTGAACATGCTGTCAGAAGTCTTAAAAAAGCAACACTACAATGCAAAAACTACAGAACCTGAAGCACCACAAAAAGAAAATCAACCTTCTGTTGGTGGCATCTGACTCAGATGATGAAAATGAATGTGCATCAGTCTGCACTGCTTTGGATCATTATCGAGCAGAACCCGTTAATAGCATGGAAGCATGTCCTCTGGAATGGTAGTTGAAACATGAGGGGGCATAGAAATATTTACCATATCTGGCACGTAAATACTAAGGTTGTCAGTTAGTCGCAGTTAACTCGCGATTAACTAAAAAAATTAATCACAATTAATCGCAGTTTTAATTGTACTGTTCAACAATAGCATACCAATTGAAATTTATTAAATACTTTGAATGTTTTTCTACATTTTCATATATATTGTATTCTATGTTGTAACTGAAATAAGTGTACAAAAACAAAGCAATTTAAAACTTCAGAGCCTACAAGTCCACTCAGTCCTCCTTTTTGTTCAGTCAATTGCTAAGACAAAGAAGTTTATTTACATTTGCAGGAGGTAATGCTACCAGCTTCTTGTTTACAATGTCACCTGCAAGTGAGAGTAGGCATTCGCATGGCCCTGTTGTAGCTGGTGTCACAAGATATTTAGGTGCCAGATGTGCTAAAGATTCATCTGTCCCTTCGTGCTTCAACCTCCATTCCAGGGCACATGTGTCCGTGCTGATGACAGGTTCTGCTTGATAACAATCCAAAGCAGTGTGGACCGATGCATGTTCATTTTCATTATCTGAGTCAGAGGCCACTAGCAGAAGGTTGGTTTTCTTTTTTGGTGGTTCAAGTTCTGTAGTTTTCGCATTGGAGTGTTGCTCTTTTAAGACTTCTGAAAGCATGCTCCACACCCCGTCCCAATCAGATTTTGGAAGGCACTTGAGATTCTTAAATCTTGGGTCAAGTGCTGTAGCTATCTTTAGAAATCTCACATTGGTACCTTCTCCGCGTTTTGTCAGATCTGCAGTGAAAGTGTTCTTAAAATGAACCACATGTGCTGGGTCATCATCTGAGATTGCTATAACATGAAATATATGGCAGAATGTGGGTAAAACAGCAGGGGACATACAATTCTCCCCCAAGGAGTTCAGTCACAAATTTAATTAACACATTATTTTTTTAATGAGGGTCATCAGCGTGGAAGCATGTCCTCTGGAATGATGTCTGAAGCACAAAGGGACAAACGAATGTTTAGCATATCTGGCACGTAAATACCTTGCAATGCCGGCTACAAAAGTAGGAGCATTGCCAGCAGATTGAGAGAAGTGATTATTCCCCTCTATTCGGCACTGCTGAGGCCAAATCTGGAGTATTGTGTCCGGTTTTGGGCCCCCCACTGCAGAAAGGATGTGGACAAATTGGAGAGAGTCCAGCGGAGGGCAATGAAAATGATTAGGGGGCTGGGGTACATGATTTATGAGGAGAGGCTGAGGGAAATGGGCTTATTTAGTCTGCAGAAGAGAAGAGTGAGGGGGGATTTGATAGCAGCCTTCAGCTACCTGAAGGAGGGTTCCAAAGAGGATGGAGCTAGGCTGTTCTCAGTGGTGGCAGATGACAGAACAAGGATCAATGGTTTCAAGTTGCAGTGGGGAGGTCCAGGTTGGATATTAGGAAAAACTATTTCATTAGGAGGGTGGAATGGGTCACCTAGGGAGGTGGTGGAAACTCCATCCTTAGAGGTTTTTAAGACCCAGCTTGACAAAGCCCTGGCTGGGATGATTTAGTCAGGGTTGGTCCTGCTTTGAGCAGGGGGTTGGACTAGATGACCTCCTGAGGTCTCTTCCAACCCTAATCGTCTATGATTCTAAGAAGAGGGTAGCATAATCTCCTGTAAATGTAAACAAACTTCTTTGCTGAACGATTGGCTGAACAAGAAGTAGGACGGAGTGGATTTGCAGGCTCTAAAATTTTAAATTGTTTTATTTTTGAATGCAGTTTATTTTGTACATAATTCTATATTTGTAAGTTCAACTTTCATGATAAAGAGATTGTACTGCAGTACTTCTATTAGGTGAATTGCGAAATACTATTTATTTTGTTTTTTTACAGGGCAAATACTTGTATCAAAAATAAATATTAAATGAGCACTATATACTTTGTATTATGTGTTGTAATTGAAATTAATATTTTGAAAATTTAGAAAACATCCAAAAATATTTAAATAAATGGTATTCTATTATTGTTGTTTAACAGTGCGATTAATTGCACAATTAATCATGATTAATTTTTTTAATTGCTTGACAGCCCAAGTAAATACCTTGCAACACTGGCTACAAAAGTGCCACATGAACACATGTTCTCACTTTCAGATGACATTGTAAATAAGAAGCGGGCAGCATTATCTCCCGTAAATGTAAACAAACTTGCTTGTCATAGCGATTGGCTGAACAAAAAGTAGGGTAGAGTGGACTTGTGGAATCTAAAGTTTTACATTGTTTTATTTTTGAGTGCAGTTATGTAAAAAAAAACCCTACAGTTGCGAGTTGCACTTTCACGATAAAGAGATTGCACTATCGTACTTGTATGAGGTGAATTGAAAAATATGATTTTTTAATTTTTTACTGTGCAAATATTTGTAATAAAAATAATATAAAATGAGCACTGTACACTTTGTATTCTGTGTTGTAATGGAAATCAATTATTTGAAAA